GGCTCCCGCGCACAGGCTGGGGCTGCGGGGCGCAGGCGCTGCCGTCTGGCGGCTGCGGGCGTGGGGTGCGGGCTGGGCACTATGAACGCCCTGCTTCGGTGCCGGAGGCTGGGGAGACACCCAGACAGACCGGGACTGACCGACGGCGCCGGGGGATGCGCGCACCCCCGCACGCACCGCTGCAGATTGGAGGGGCCCGGCTGGTAAGCGGGGCTCGCGACAGAAACCCTCGGCCTCCGCTACCGTCTCCTGCGTGACCTTGGGCAGGTGACCTGCCTTCTCTGGGTCTCCTCCTTAGTTGGGTGAGGAGGAAGGCAGGCTGCCTGCACCAACAGTGGCGTCCAACTGTGTCTTGTGACTTCTTTGCCGTGTGACCTTACTTAGGTTCCCTGTGAGGGCACTTCTTCATCTGGAAAATGGGGGTAAGAATTCTTTAGGAGGTATGAGGAATTCATTTAGGAGGTGGAGCATAGGGAACAGCTAGCGTGGGCCCTGGCACACAGTAAATGTTGGTTAACATTTACTGACCTATGTGGGCTGCCCGCTCCACCATTGATAAGATATTTATCCAACTGTCTAGTCTATCACTGTTAACTGAGCACCTCAGATGTGCCAGGTTTTGTGTGAGGTGTCTTATTTTCCCCAATGGGAGCGGCAGGTGTTATTATTCCCATTTTATAGATGAGGAAGCTGCAGCACAGAGAGGCTGAGTTACTTATTCAAGGTCACAGAGCTAGCACAGGATACGAGGGATAGAATCATACTCCAGGGACCTTCCAGGCTAGTAGTCCTCAGCACTCTTCCTTTTCTTGGGATGAAAATGCATTGGGAGTTTCGGTAAAGGGAAAGGACCAGCAAGTGCCATTGTGTTGTCGTGATGGCTTGTGGCTTAGATTGTAAGTGCCAGGTTCTCTGTGCTGGCAGTGTACCCTCAGGGACATCATGAAAAAAATAGAAAAGTCATGACTTTGCATCTGTGAAATGGGCCACCAGCCCGTCTGTGCATGGCTGACCACTCACAATGTTCTGATGATCCCGAAAGCCTGTGGCTGGGATGGGAAGTGTTAGCAGCAGCAGTCGTAGGCATCGGTTTGCTAGGACTGAGTCCATGTGTGCCTGTGGACTGGCATACACTCTGCTCGCTCTCACAGTGACCCGGTGCACCAGAGGAGGCCTCCGCAGAGAGGCAAGCCTAAGGGTCTGTGCTCTTACCTCTGGGGCATGAAAGGAGGTGGGTAGGGCTTAAGCCCCAGCCTGGCTCTGGCGAGGAGCCTATCCTGCTGCCCCTTCCTGTAAGCCGGTCCGGGGGTGCAAGCTCTCCGTGCGCAGGAGGATGGAGGCTCTTCTACCTGCTGCTTCTTGCCTGTGTGGGGTCTAGGGTGGCCATGGATGTGAAGACGAGGTGCATTTATGGAGCCCTACTGTGCACTAAGATACAATTTTTACATCCAATATCCAAGTTTAGCAGCAGCCGGAGAAGACAGGCTTATGCCCGAGGAAACGGTCGCAGAAGAGTGAAGTCGTGTCAGGCGACAAGAGCGTGAAACTCGGCCTTGGCGATAAAGCCAGAAGGGCTGTGGCTTTGCCTGGGAACAGGCAGCACAGGCTGTGGAATTCCAGGAGGCCAGCAGGAACACCTGCCCCTCCTCAGGGCTGCCCTACCCTCTCACAGGAGAGGCAGCAGCGCGGCCGAGCACCTCCTCCCTCCTCTCGGCGCTGGGGTTCCATCGCACCCTTTGAACATCTCGGTGACCACTGCATAGGAGGAAGGGCGAGGCCTGGCCTCTCTCTGCCTGCTTCCCGGCTGCTCCTGGGGGAGAAGAGGGGATGGGGCTGTGATGCTAGCCTTCCCTGAGCGAACACTCCCTGGGGTCAGCGCTGAACTTTGGTGACAGTTACTGGGGCTGCATAGTGCAGATGGCCTAGGTCCACACATTTCAGATGGAGGAACTGAAACCTAGAGGGGGCAGGACTGGTAAACATACTCAGTGACGTCAGGGCAGAGCCACATAGAGTCTGGGAGTGTGGCTCCACCCTGGCTCTGACCCCCCAAGAACACACGTCTCTGCCACCCTCTTCCCCTCACTTACCCTTAGCTTGGAAAATAAAATAAAATAAAAATAAAGATAAAGCCTCAGATTTTCTAGGTGTTGCCCACATCAATCATTCTGCACACTGAGCCCCAAATTTATGATCATTCAAGTGGCCAGGAGCTTGGAACCTTACATATTTGTAAAAGCTGCCACTGATATTCAGAATCCCTTTCCTCTTTCTCTCTCTTCCTTTCTCTATTTTTCCTGATCTCATGTCAAGCTAGAAGTGAAATGGAGATGTGTGCTGATTTAAGGAAAGTGTTAGATGAAAATGTACTTCCTTTTATTATATAGGGAGATATTTTTAAATGCATATAAATAAACATTTTTAATTTGCCTAAACGTTCAGATTTTATCACTGTGGAGCATGTGTTGTGCTACACCAGGGAGTGGTGACTGTGAAGAGAAAGGTTCCAGACTGCTTTCCATCTGCTGTGGTGGAGAGAACGTGGTTCCGGAGTGGGCTGCTGGGACGGGATTGCCCTCAAAGCTGCCCTGGCTGGGCCTGCCAGGCAGCCCTGTTCTGTATCTCAGCCACCCTGAGCCAGCTGGTTTCCTCAGAGATCCATCGTCTGCCTGCCCCCTCTTCCTGCCATCTCTCTTTTTCTCTCTCTGTCTCTCTCACACACACACACAGACACCCTCCATGCTGCTGCTAGAGACCTCTTCTCCCAGAACTCCACTCTCAACCCTGAATCCGTCCCCAGAGTCGAGCAGTGGCCTGTTCTCAGCAATTCACACGAATCTCGTCACTTAAAGATGAGTCTGGCTCCTCCACAAGACTAAGGTTCTCAGTGTAGCATCAAGGGGTCTAGGGGTCCCCAAAGTTGTGTGCAAAACCTAGTGTTGATATGCATGTCCTGATTTGCTTGAGGCCATGACCATGCTGTGGCCCGAAGCGGGCCAGGTCAGGCAGATCCATCTCTGGTCTTCAGCACCAGCGGGGCCTGCTGCCAGCAGAAGGAGAACATAGCAAAGCAGCACCAGCCTTTCCTTACAGGACAGCTGGTTCCTTAGACCTGGGGAGGCTGCAGAATCTGATGAGGCCTGAGGCTATCTCTTTCCCAAGCCCTTACACTAGCCCATCCTCTAGTGGGATCCTTCAGGTGACAAGAAACTAACAGGGCCCCATGCAGGCCATGGCATTGCTTGGAACTTTTCTTAAGTAAGTTTCCTTTTTTGTGGACCTCAAACACCAACTGACAGGTGACTATCAACTCAGCCCTGGGGGCATTGAGCCTCCTGGTTGCCCATGTGGGCAACTGCTACAGCTCACACAGGCTGCCAGGCTTGGCCACTGGCCTCCTGCTAGGCAGAGGTATTCTGAGGCCAGGGACAGGACTGTCCCACCTCAGGTCTCCACAGCGACCACCTGTCCTCAGCACTGGAGGTGGTGGTGGCGGTAGTAAGAACATCAGTCAGGCCTGCCAGCATCTCATGTTAGGACGCAGCAGGCGCACGAGCAGGTGGCTAGAACATGAGTGCTTGCCTCCGTGCTCGGCCCTGCACTGGCCACAATGCTACAGTCAGGTCTTTTATTTCCGTTTGACAAGTGAGGAGGCCGAGGCTCAGAGAAGTTAAGTAACTTGCTCGAATCTCCCAGCTCAGAAAGTGCCACCCTGGAACCAAGGCCAGCGAACCACAAACTCGCTGCTCCGCAAAAGTCACAGAGAAGGTGAGGCCCGGCCCAGCCCCGCCCCCCCGAAGCGTGTGGGGTTCCTGGGACACTGATGGACCTCGTGGGGCCTCCTGGGCAAGGAGAACAGTGGGGAACACTGAATTACAGAAAACTCAAGGGGTTCCTGTGCAGTGGGGCTTCTCCGAGCCTTTGCTATGCCGCCGCCACCGTTACTCTCCTAGCGGAGTGAAATCTGCAGGGTTTCCCAGATTTACTTGACCAGAGCTGTTTTTTCTTGGAAGATGAGCCCCTACTTTTATAAGGGGGAAATGGAAGCCCTGAGGGAGGCAAGTGACCCCAGGGTCACAGCAAATCTTTTCAAAGGTCACACTATTTACTCACTGCCTGATACCTTCCTCCCTCCCAGCCCTTCTCTCTGCTCTTGCCCTGGTCCTTTCCTCTGGTGCCACCTGGCTCCCGTGCCCAGCATGTCTCTGTTACTGACAAGGCCAGGGACTCTCCCAGGCCACTGGGAGGAGGAGAGGAGCCTGCTGGTCTCTACAGGCTGTGCCAGGACTAGATCCACTTTGTGCATTGTTAACGTGGGCCCCAGGGGCAAAGGGCAGCAGTAGACAGGCTGTGCACACTTTTTACGGCTGGGCCACCTCCCAGAACAGTAAACAGAGGGACAGGCAGTTGGCACTGGAGCCCTCTGTGGAGAAGAGGCCCCAGGTAGCAGACTCTTATCCACTCTGGAAGGGAGGTAAGAAGAGTGGCTTCCCCTGGGTGTCAAAAAAGATCAAGTTCCCAGTTCATATTGCTCATATTCCTTCCTTCTTGGCTTGATCAGTAACCACTCGCCCTTGAGGTCTCAGCTCAGACACTGCCTCCTCCAGAAAGCCTTCTGGGCCTTCTAAGATAAGCCAGGAGCCTTCTCTGCACTCACTGGATTTGCTGGTTCCCATGATGTCCAGAGTACCACTCTGATGGGATATCAGTGCCATCAGCTTCGATATTACAATGATCTGTGTGCATGACATCATCACTGACGAGGAACTTCTGAGTGGCAAGGCCTGTGTGCCTGGCACATGAGGTGCCAGTGAACATCATCACTGGAAAGGAAAGCCTGAACTGAAAGCATCTGAAAAATTCAATAGGCTGATGTACTGCCTGATGATTCTGCTCACAAAGAGCCTCACAGACTTACTCTAACAATGTCTTGTTTTGATCTTTTAAATGTATTTTAAAGGTGACCTTGTGGTAGGCCTGCAGAACAGGAAGGGAATATGTAATTGTTAGGGAAGGGAGAAGGTGATTTATACTTCTTGAACCTTTTTCTTTAATGCTATGTATAATGATTTTTATACATTTTTAAAAAGAGGAAAAAATTTATTCTTGAAGCTGCATCCAAGAGATTCACTGTATTAAACATCTGTCCGGCTGCAAGCTCTGCTTGGTGCAGAGACAGTCTCTGGGGTTCCCTGGGGCCTAGGCCCTGATGGACAGCCTGATGGGTGGTAGGACCCTCCGGGTGCACTCTGCCCTTCCCCCCCTCCCTGCATTGCCAGGCCTTCCTGCCAGTGCTAGCAAGTGGACAGGGTTCTGCAAGTCAGAGAACACTCATCAGAGCCTCGCCTCTGGGTGGCTTTATATCAGCACCCAGGCTGGGGAGGGTGGGCAAGCTATGATGCGCAGGTGGAGGTGGGGCTGCAGGAAGGGGCAGGTGGGAGTGGACACACCTGCAAGTATCCCAGCTTCACTCAGCCGTGTCCCCTTTCTCCAGGTTCTACCTGCTCTTTACAGCACCTCCCGCCTCACCCCTTGAGCCTCTGGGCCATGGGCCTTGTCCTGGGCCTTTACTCAACCCTCTGGGGCTTGCAATGTCCCCTGAGATTGAGACTCCCACCTTAGGCTCCCTTATCCCCCTGGGGCCTAGAACATAGGAGCCTGAAGAGGTCTTCGGCCAAAAGGCTCTCCATTCACAGGGGTAAGGGGATGCAGGGAGTGGGTGAGTGACTCATCCTTGGCCATGGTGACAGAGGCACGGCTGGAGCTAAGACCAGGCCTTATGTCATGAACCCCATCAGAAGCTCTGTCCCGGCACCTGCATGCCCAGGTCCTCCGAGCCACATGACTGGGAGGGACTAGGACAGAAACTCCTCCTTGACAGGCATTGGGGAGGAAGCACCCAGGAGGCCAGCAGTGCTGGGGCCCAGGACCCCCAGGGGTGGCCCGGCTGAGGTGGGGGTGCCATCCAGGGTGTCCAGTGCCGGTGGTAGCTGCGGGGGTGCTTGCTGCTGCTGCTGTTGCTTCTTCTTGTTCACTTTGCGCTCCTTGGCTCGACGGTTTTGGAACCAGATCTTTACCTGCAGGGTCACCAAGCAGAGATGCAGCGGGCTGGGGAGAGCCAGGGGGAGGGTGGACCTCCGCTCACCTTTCTCCAGGTGGCATTTGTGGCCACCCAGACCTCATGGGCTTGAACTCACCCTCCTCCACTAGAGCCTGCTCCCCTACACTGGCCTCCCTTCGAGTAACCCTCCCTTGCCCTCCCCGTTTCTCTTTGCCCCTTTCCCCTCTGGGTCTAGACAGCACTTGCTATAGCCTGTGGTTGGTTGGATGCAGGAACATGAGATTTCACTGAGGGGGCTGGTGGCAGCTCAGGGTCCATTCTGCTAGGACCACAGCCTGGAGACTCAACTTCTCTGATCTCCCTCTACTGAGCTCTGTAATTTGCACAGCAGCCGGAAGCCAAACTGCCCAGCTCTGCTCCTGGGGCCAGGGTGCAGGGGCACACACCTGTCGTTCAGTGAGCCCCAGGTTGGCAGCCAGCTCTGATTTCCGTCGGATGGTGATGTAGCGGCTATAGTGGAACTCCTTCTCCAGCTCCAGGCGCTGGTGGTCTGTGTAGACCACTCGGTATTTGTCCTTGGTCCGAGTCTTACCTGAGAAGCAGAGGGGCCAGGAGGGAACGTGAGGTGGTGGGGTGGGTGGGTGTCTACAAAAGGACCAGGAGGGGTCCCTGAGAGGAGGCTCCTGAAGGTGCTGAGGCTTCACCCAGTTCTCCTGACCCTGAGTTCTGATTGCCAGCTGTGCCAGCTTGAAACCAGCAGTCGCAGGGCTGGGGACTTAGCTCAGTGGCACAGCACCTGTCTGGCAAGTGGGAGGTCATGAGTTCGATTCCTGGTACCGGAAAAAAAAGAAACCAGCAGACGCCAGCTGTGGCTGCACAGCACACTCCCGGGGAGCTGGTGAAAAACAGGCCAGGGACACCCTGACAGCTTAACCGGATGTTTTGGGTAGAATCTGCATAATTCAACAAAGCCCCCACATGGTTCTGATCTACAGGTCCTCAGACGAAAGATGAGGGGACTCCTGACAAACAAGGCACATGGAGACTAAGGAGAGGTCAGTGGTGCAGAAGAGCAGGGAAGGCCCTCAGTGCTGGTGGTGGGGGAGAAGACAGTCAAGGGCTGTGCTGTGCAGGAGGACCCCGGCCCCTGCTGAATGATCCTAGTCAGCTGGGAAGCACAGGGACTGCTTGAGATGCCCTGGCCCTGGCCCCCAACCTTGAGCTGGGGCTGCTCCAGGGGCTGGGGTGGTCTGCTGAATGCTTCACACTCTGTGTCCAACATGGTGCAGTGACTGGGGCCGTATCCCTAGACTCACCGTGCTCTCATGCTGGAAGCCACACACTGGGACAGGCAGTGAGCTCAGCTTCTGAGGCAGGTAGACAGACAAAAAGCAAGGATGGAAAATGCTTCATAAGTTAACTGATAAGTATTTCAGAATAAAGACAGTGTTTCAGAAAAGAAGTAAAAGATCTATTCAATGAAAACTACAGTATTCTGAAAAAAGAAATCAAAGAGGATTTCAATAAATGGAAAAACATTCCTTGCCCATGGATAGGAAGAACCAACATTATGCTTTTTGTTTGTTTGTTTTGTTTTGTGGTACCAGGAATCGAACTCATGACCTCATACTTGCCAGGCAGGTGCCTGCACCACTGAGCTATGTCCCTGGCCCACCAGAACCAACATTGTGAAAATGACCATACTACCAAAATTGTTGTACAGATTCAATACAATTCCCATTAAACTACCATTAGCATACCTCACAGATCTAGAGAAAACATTCCTCAAATTCATCTGAAACCAGAAGAGACCCAGAATAGCAAAAACAATCCTGGGCAACAAAGACAAGTCAGGTAGAATCACAATCCCTGACCTGAAATTATACTACAAAGCTACTGTCATAAAATCAACCTGGTACTGGCTCAAAAACAGACCTGAGGATCAATGGAACAGACTGGAAGAAACAGACACAACCACAAACACTCTCAGCCACCTAATCTTTGATAAAGGTGCCAAACAAACTCACTGGAAGAACGAAAGCCTCTTTAATAAATGGTGCTGGATAAATTGGCTTGCCACCTGCCAAAGACTGAAAATAGACCCAAGTCCATCACCATGCACCAAACTCAAGTCAAAATGGTTCACAGATCTCAATATTAAAACAGAAACACTAAATCTATTGGAAGAAAAAGTAGGTAAAAACCTTGAAGACATAGGGGTAGGCAGAGAATTCATGAACAAAAACGAAACCACACGGGAAATACTTCAAAGAATCAACAACTGGGATCTCATCCTACTGAAAAGTTTCTGCACATCTAAAGAAATCACCAGCAGAGTAAAAAGAAAACCCACAAACTGGGAAAAAATTTTAGCTGACTGTCCCTTGGACAAAGGTTTTCTGTCTAGAACATATAAAGAATTAAAAAGTATCCACCCCCACCAAATTCAAAGGCCCAATCCAAAAATAGGCATCAGAGATGAATACACACTTCTCAGATAAAGAAATACAAATGGCAAATAAATACCTGAGAAAATGTTCAGCATCATTACTCATTCGAGAAAGGCAAATTAAAATAACATGGAGATATCATCTCACCCCAGTAAGAATGGCTAGCATTAAGAAATCAGCCAATAACAAATGCTGGCGAGGCTATGGAGAAATACGAATTCTTCTCCTCTGCTGGTGAGAATGCAGACTGGTGAAACCACTGTGGAAATCAGTTTGGAGATTCCTCAGTAAACTAGGTCCAGAGGTCCCATTCAACCCAGCTCCTCCCCTTCTGGGTATTTTCCCAGGAGATCTGAAAACATAATATCAAGTGATATATGTGCACCCATGTTTATAGCAGCACAATTTGCAATTGCTAAATTGTGGAAGCAACCCAAGTGTCCATCCACTGAGGAATGGATAAAAAAATTGTGGTACTTTTATATAATGGAATACTACTCAGCTATAAAGAAAGATAAACTTGAGGATTTTACAGGTAAATGGTCAGAAGTAGAGACCATAATCATAAGTGAAATAAACTAGACCTCCATGCATAAGCAATGTATTGTCTCACTAGTGTAAGAACCTGAAAGAGTGAATAAAAATTAGGAGGTATGATGACATTGTGAAATGAAAAGAAAATGCTCAAAAGTAAAGAGCAACTGGGGTGAGGGAAAGAGAAAAGAAAGAAGGGGAAATTATATATGTATGTATATACAGGATAGCTAACATAGTTGTACTACTGACTTCTATCACTTTACTGAAAGGAACAGTTAATGATTACTTATTTGATCTGTCTTGCATGTCTCTATTTGTTTTCCTGAGAAATCACTTTGAAGATAGCAATACGTAATACAACAACCATTGCTAATTTCCTACCACTTTGTCTGTAACTCTCTATTGCTTATATTGTTCCTATGCTATTTTTTAAATGAATGTCTGCTTGTTAATATGTTTTCCTTCTTTTATTTTTAAAATAAATTTAAAAAAAGAAAGTGTTTGAGAGAAAGAGGACTGGGAATTTCCAAAAGAGAAAGGTTGTGGTTTTAAGCAGAGTAGTGCTGAGTGGATGTTCCTGCGTGAAGCTACTTAGGAGACTGAGGCAGGAGGGTTGCTTCAGCATAGGAGTTCAAGTCAGCCTGAGCAACCATAGCAAAACACTGTTTCACAATGAAATGAAACAACAACAACAAAAAACTCCCTAAAATGATAGATTTTTAAAAATAGAGTGGCCTGTGAAGGATTTACTGAGAAGGGAAATTTGAGCAAAGCTCTAAGAGAGGTGAGGGGAAACGGGGTCCAGCACAGGGGACACCAAGGGCCAAGGCCCTGTGCTGGACGCCTGTCTGCCACATGACAGGGAGGAAGCTGGTGGGGCTGGGGCTCAGGAAGGAAGTGAGGGGGCTGGGGATTTAGCTCAGCGGCAAAAGCGCCTGCCTGGCAAGCGCAAGGTCGGAAAAACAAACAAAAAAAAAAAACAAAGGAAGCAAGTGAGCAGCAGATATTCAGAGGGTGTTTTACTGCCTGGGAGGGAGCCGCTGCAGGGCGCAAGCAGAGGGGACACGAGGTCCTAAGTGGGTTTTTACCTCCTCTGGCTGCAGTGTGGACAGGCAGAGACAGAGCAGGGAGACCAACAAGGACCCAGGATACAGGGCGGCAGCTAGGCCTTCCAGACGGGGCTCGGCCTGGGCCAGGAGCCGGACTTGAGGGCCGTCTGGGGTTAACGTCAGGCTTTGGGGCTGGACTGGAGACGTGTCTGGGGAGACTATTAAGAGTCGTGCTCAGCCTGCGCTGGTTGGGGGTGGGGGTGCAGCTAAGCATCAGTTTCCTTTACAAGAAGCTGAACACGTGGCTATAAATAGGAGGCACATGCCAGCACATGTGTGCACCAGGACATGGCGGATCTCAGAATAACCACAGACCCACTCCCCATCCACCGCGTGACCCCGCAACGCCCAGCTCTTACCTCCCTGAGCTTCACACAGGCTGGCCTCGCCTGTCCCTCCTCACCCTCGCTGACCACCCCCGCCTTGTTCTGTCCGTCCCCCCCGCCAAGCCCACGCAGCTTGGCAGGACAGCCACTGGGCTCCTCGTGGCCAAACGGCTCTGTGGAGAACAGGAGACAGCAGATGTTCCCAAGCGGCTTTTCCCTGGATTTTCTGCCAGAGCAGCAGAACCACACCGGACGCTTCCATGGCTACTGGCCTCAGGCCCCTGTCTGACAGTGTGGACAACCTCAGCCCTTGGCCAGGCCTGGCCCCAGGAAAGGGCCAAGGGTGTGGCTGCTGAGGCCTTGGCTCCAGATGGGCCCCCTCCTTGGCTTAGAAAATTCAACGTTGGCTCAAAACCAGTTCTGCCTAACGCCTCTGCCACCACAGTCTAGCAGGCCTCTTCGTCCTCGGATTGCTAGGTTCACTGGGCTAGAGCCAGGATGGGTTTTGGGAGTTTTGTTTCCTTCCGTATTTCAGGTGAAGAGACTGTGCTTCAGGATATTCACACTGCAGTGCCTGGTGAGGCCCTTCAGTTTGGCCTGTGGAGTCAGGGTCCCTGGAGGCCTGGATGGGCAGACTTAACGAAGGCCATATCCCAGGGCAGAGAGTGCTCAGCACCCTCCAATTTACATGGGGACCACTGAGCCTGCTATGGCTCCCCCCAGCACTGGCAACTGTCCCATTCTAGGAGGGGTCAGAGCATGGCAGGGACCTGTAAAACAGGACTGCCACAGGCCAGGGCCTGTAAAACACCCAGGGGATACACGGTCACCCCCACAAGAGGAGGCAGGCCCAGAGGGGTCCTTGCCCACGGGGCCTCAGTCTGGATGTTATGGCTACCGCCTTGGTCTTTCCCAGCTCTCCCTGTTGCTTTCTGACAAGCAGCCGGGACGCGTGACAGCCATGTCACAGGTGGGGAGTCGAGGCCTGGAAAGCGGCTCTTGCTGAGGTCGTCCCACCTGGTGATGGGTATGATCAAGACTCAGACACCGAACCTTCCCCGAAAGGACAGAATGGAATGAGAAGACGACAGAGCGCTGGCTAGCAAGGCTCCCAGCAGAGACCGGCCCAGCTGGAGAGGGCAGGGGCTCAGCAGCCCATTTGGCCCCCTT